TATAATTTGGAAATAATTTATATATTTAAATTAATTAATTATTAATTAAAAATTTAAGTAATAATAATTAAGGAAAGAATCTAAAAATAGGAGAAAATAATATTAATTTAAATATAGATAATATATAATAAGAAAAATATCTTGATATGTTGACGTTAATTTAGGAAATTTTTTTTTTTCAAAATTTTAAAAAATAATATAGATTATAATAATCTAATTAATTATTAATTTAATTAATAATTAATATTCAAATAATTCAAAATAGGAAATTATTTATTAATTTAAATTTAAATATTAAAAATAAATTATCTGATATTTTAATTAATTTAATAAAAATAATTTTAAAATTGAAATATTAAATTTTAAATAATTAAATATCAATTTAGCAAATTAAGTAATTAATAAATTAAAATAATTTAAAATTTGAAAAATATTATAATTCGAATTAGATATATAAAAATAATAATAATTTTCTATTTCAAAATAATTTATTTAAATTTAGAAAGTATTAAATTTTAATTTAATTAATTACAATTAAGGTGATTAGTTATTAATCAATTAGAATAATTTAAAAAGAAATTAATTATAAATTTAAGTTTAAATAATTAACAAATATCTATGATATTTCAATATAATTAATGAAAAATAAATTTTGATATTTTAGAAAGAATAATAATTCATTATTAATTAATCTAAGATATTTAAATAATTAACTAATTAAAATTGCTAAAATAATAATCTTTAACATATATTTATAAATTTAAATTATAAAGTAATAATAATTTTGTATTATTTTGAAAATAAAATAGTTAAGAAATTTTATTTTATCATTTTAAAAAGTAATTATAATTATTAGTATTAATAAGTGTTTAATATAAAGTAATTAAAATTATTTTAAATAATAATAAATATGACATTAAATAGATTCAATTTTTAAATTAATTAATTAAAAATAATTATTAAATTTTAAACATATTATAAAAAAACTATTTTATTTAATAAATATGTTTTTTTTAACTCAAAATTAGTCAATTCTATGCACGCTAGAAACGAAAAAGGGCCGTCTCGAGGATGGCTCAACAAATTTTGATGATATTTTAAACGTAGATTAAGGACATGAACAAAAGTCGTGGGGAGGTGTTTGTTTGGCTTAAAAATGGCTTATTAGAAAGTTAAATAGATCTAAGTGAGGTGACCTAAATCTACGATTTTTTGAAGAATCTCATCGTTGGATCTTTAAGTTCTTTATACGGTTGAGCTTGTAGATTATCCGCGTATGTTTCTCTAGTTGAAACCACGACCAAACAAACTCTGGGTCAACCGACTCGAGGCCTTGGACGGATCTAGCCATGATCTCATCAAAAAGTCTCCTCCGACGGGGTTTGACTGATGGATTTGTGTAGAAGAAGGTAGGGAGAAGTTGGAAGATCTCTCAGCTGAAGAAGTTTGGGTTGAGAGCGGCTAGGGAGATAATAAAAGCCAGAGCCCCTCTCATGAAGTCCTAAAAGAGTATTTAAAAGATTAAGATCTTAGATCCACAACTAGGATTCATCCTAAGGGTAATTAGGAGTGAATTGAGGTGATTTAGTCGTGGGTTTGATTACTTGATTTAAAAATAAATTTAAGCTCATAAGAAGGAAAAAAGTATTAAATATATTGAATTAAAATTAAGCTCAAAATCAAATCGAATTTGGGTCAATTTGGGATTCAGTTTGATTTGCTAAAATTAACCCAATTAAATTTAAATAAAATGACGACTTGAATCATAACAAACTCAACGCGGCTAAAGTGGACTAATCGGGCTTAAACGAATATGGTCGAGTCTAATTCAACTAAATACGAGTTGATTCGAGCTCGAATTAGACTTGACGGGGCTTAATTAAATTGATCCAAGGCCCTCGAGGGCACTCGAATGAAAATCGAGGTCAACAGTCTCGTCCCTCGGTACACTCTGTCCCCCGCACAGCGGTGTCCTTTCGGATGTCCACACCTAAGACCATTAGAATAAAATTCATTAAGAAATTTTCATAAAAATTAAAAATCAGAAACATCTTAATTTTTAGAATCTTAAAAATAATTTGAAAAAACTTGAATTTTATGTTTAAAATCATTCCTTCCCTAAATGTTTTTTTCCAAAATTTTTGAGTTTTAGAAAAACTCTAGATTTTTAACACAAGAAATACATGAGAAAATTAAGAAATTTCTTGATTAAGAACATACCTTAGACTTCCCTTAACTTCCCTCTTCGATTTCTCCCAAGAAACTCGCAGGAAAATCGCCGCCCGTCGCTCGCCAAAACCCCTAGCCGCCGCCCTTCTCCCTCTCTCGTTCGCTCTCTCCCTTGCTCGGCCAAAACAAATGACAAGGGACCAAATATTTCAGTTCCTTGTGAGGTATTTTGGTGGTGGGGGCAAATGACGCATGTGCCCCACTAGCCAAAAGTTCTTATTATGAAGAGGAGGGCTATTTATTCTTTTGGCCATTAATAAACTTCATTGGTTTTTAATTTTAAATCCATGCAAAGTTAAGTATAAGTTCTTTATATCAAATTGCTCAAAATTTTGAATAAAATTTAATAAAATTGATTGCGTCAAATTCTGTCATCTTAAAAAATTCACCTATTTTCATCATGGTGCATCGAAATGCAGACAATGCTTAGGATCAACATTTTTTTGTTTTACATGGAATGCCATGGGTATAAGGCAATGCATATATTGTTTAAGTAAAATGTAAATTATAGTGAAGGTTTGACTATTCTTAGTTAATTTACTAAGTCAAATTAACTAATATTTGATGGATGAAGAGTTTAGTTTTATTTGAACCATGGAATACAAGGGTTTTGAAGGGTTAATGATTTTATTTGGATTATATGCAGTGATTTGACCCAAATGGGTTTAGCTTGATCATATTTGGACTTAGTTAACCAAGTGAACTATTGACTGGGCCAGGGTGACCAACCATGTCCAATTCTCTAGGCATTATACTCAAGGAATTTTAGTGAGAATCAGGGATGATTTGGGGTTCAATTAGAGGTAATTGGGGAAAATGATCTATTGGGTTAGATTTGGCTAGCTCAAATGGGTCAGATGAGTCAAAGTGGTTCAGGGAGTTAGTAATGAGTGATTTGATATATAAAGCTCCTAGTGAAGTAGTTTGGATCATAATTGAGGTCAATGAGTCAGTGCACAGTGCAAGGCAGCATACTGGGCTACCTGATTATAGTGCAGGGTTGCAATTGTCCAGGTGATTGAGGTTTAATTATTATTGACTATATAAGTGATTTGAGTGTAGTTGAATGGCCAAGATGATTTTGAATCAACTGGTTATAGGTTGACTGAATGTTGTTCGTTAAATGATTATAGGTTGACTGAATGTTGGATGTATGATTGAAGCTCATTGAAGGTTGATTGTAGAGTAGATTGAGATATAGATTGATTGAAGTGTTGATTGTAAAAGGTGATTGAATGTAAACCAGGGAGATGTAGATCAATGTAACCTCATACAAAACATGAGGTCAACATACACAAGTATAAGAAAGAGTAGATGGGATACTCAATTATGATAATGCATATACTATGCATCTTACTTAATCCTCATTTTTAATATGATATAGAAAATTATTATAATAAACTGGAAGTTGTGCAAGGTTTAGTAAGATTTATTCAAAATAAAGACATATGTGCTAAACCATCATTAACAATGAATGATGTGAGGTTGTATCATAATAATTTGGAGAATTTTGGAAGCTCAATTGCTCTTAAAATGACGAAAGAAATGTAGCCTTTTATAAACTTAAGCCTACATTTTAATAATGAATTTGTAAAATGCAACTCAAAAGTATTAATATTATTTGAATTATAGTTGAATGGTGGAAGATGTTTGGCTTTAATGCACCAAACTTACAAAAATTAGTTGTTCTAATTCTGAGCCAAACATTATTGTCATCTGGATGTGAAAGAAATTGGACCCTATTTAAATACATTCACAATAAAAGGCAAAATCACTTAGAACATCAAAACTTAATTATCTTGTATATATATATATTTTAAAATATAAAAATAATGCTTTAGTTTAGTTAAAGCTTCATAATATTGTTATACATAATCCTCGATAATGTGATAAAATTCTAAAAATTTAGTTTTTGCAACTTGTAGACTACCAGATGGAAAATTATTTAACAATAATTAAGGCATTTTTATAGAATTATACACCAATATTGTGATTACTTTAGTAGTGTAGAATACAATTTATTTTTTGTGTATGTGCTTGAAATGTTTGAATTATATTAAAAGTAATTCTGTTGGTAAAGAGAAGGGATTCTATTGGCGGAGAGAAAGGATTATGTTAAATGCTATCTATTATGTGTTGGAAATTGTGAAGCCTAGGGCTAAGGAGGGATTTTGTTGGCAGAGAAAAGGAATTTTATTAGTAGCAAGAAGGAATTCTGTTATTTGTTATGTGTACAAAATTGAGGACTGAGAGCAATTATGATAATTACTATAAAATATTTATTTATATTTAATCTATCTCAATACAATTTTAGTAGTTATCAAAATGTTTATAAAAATTCAATATCTATTCAATTTAAGCCTTCCTTACAGTACTTCAATTTATAGCCTACTGAATCGTGTTAGCCTTACTACTACTTTTGCTTCCATTTTTAGGCAAAGGAAAGAGTAAGGAGCAAGATGAATAGTTTTGATATCAAGCTCTAATATGTAATGTATATATGCTTGTGGTTAGTTTTCTTTTTTGCAGGCTTAAACTTTATTTTTACTTTTTTATTACTAAACATTATTGTAGATAACCTAAGATTATATAACTCTTTCATTAGTCCATATTGAACTCATCCATCATATTGAGCCCATTACAATTTGAAGTTTAGCATCCAAGTATGCATTCAACTCATTAAAAAAATGTTGTCAAAGGATAGTTTAAATCATCTAAAAATTGAACCATCCAATGGATAATTCAACTCTGAACATTTTGAGACATTAAAAAATATAAACTGACATTTGTATTTTCAGAAATGAAAAACTTTATCCAAGAAAAGCTTAACTCACTATAAACACAAACAAAAATTATTGGTCATCTTATTATAAGCCAAGAAAGGATACTGCAAAGGCATAAATACTTAGGCTTCGTTTGGGACAACTTTCTTACTGCTTCTGTAAACAATTTTGTAATACAAAAAATTAGTATTTGTACTAAAAAATTATTTTAACAAGCAATAAGAAAGTCGTCCCAAACAAAACCTTCATTTTCATTTATGATTCATTCCTTGAAACCTCACAACGCCGTTGGTAACCCTTTCACCTTTTTCTACTTATCAAGCTTCTTCATCTTCTTAATAGAATCAAGAAGAGATGTTGATGTTTTTTCAAGCTTATTTGATGACTTGGCAAATGGATTTATTGGCCTATGACAATGCTTCTGATTAACCGCCTCAATAGAACTAGAATTACCTGTGCCACCACCTTTTACAGGTAATTGCTTCTCTTCCTCTTTTGAACTCTTTTTATTGAGTTCCTTCTCTGTTGCCTTTATCACTTTCTCAGTTCTATCATGATTGTTCGACATCTTTGAAAATGGTATTGTGGCAGCCTGAGACTTCTCTGCTTCATTACTTCTGTTCCCACAAAGTTCCTTTCTTTCTTTATTCTCTTCGTGTTCTCCATTTTTGTCTTTCTTGGAAGCTTCGGCATTTGCAAATACCTGTGAAGATGAAAGATTGGAAATAACAACAGCTTTGTTTACGTCCATGACAGAAGAGTTGTTTGAAACCCCTTTAGATTCATTTAGCAATCTTTCCTGCAAGAAATGTATAGGAAATAAGCAGTCAAAACATTTGAAAAAAAAAAATTTTACAGGAAAATTTTATGGATATTGTAACTAGAAGCCACCTCCAGTATTTCATTGAAACGCTCGGCAAGGATAGGAAGCTTCAGAGTGGTAACCAGCTTAATTGCACCCTTTACTGACTTATCCATAGAAAGCAGTCTTGCAAGTTCAGTGGCCCTCACAAGCTTATCAGCTATAAGGACATCATCCAAACAAACATTCTTAAGATTCAAATATTACCCAAAAAAAAAAAAAGTATAAATAAGAATACCATTGCAACAAGTGGAAATAAGCCTCAAGATGCAACGGTCAATAGCAGACTCCATATCAAATGCTTCATCATCAAGTGCAGTTGTGTCGAGACCAGCAGCTGCATTTTCATCTATCTTCTCCAGAATCTGAGATCAAAATTTTGATGAGTTTGAGCAATTAAGCAAGCCAAATAATAGACAAATATGTCAAAGGAAAAGAAAAACCTGATAGAGATGCATATTTCTAATAATGAACTCGTTTTCCAGATCATCGGCGCCTAGATCAGAGCAGGCAAGAGGGAATTTAAGATCAAGTAGGATGAGAACAGGCTTTGGCATTACCTGCAGAAACTCTGAAAGTGTTAAATTGGAAGGAGTAAGTTGGTAAAAAGTTGTAGCAACACTCAAAAGGACTTACCAATGGGTAAGAGTTGGGGGACTTGCATGAAACACAGAAGAGCTTGTTTGCATTAAGACCTACCATCCAGTAGTTCTCATCTTCAGACTTCTTTGCTTTACTAGCACTGCATTTAAATTCATATCCATCTCATGACTGATTCTAAGGCTTAGTTTGGGACGGCTTTCTTACTGCTTCTTAAAGCAGCTTTCTAATACAAATATTTTAGTTTTTAACTTTTTATATTAAAAATTTGCTTCAAGAAAGCAATAATAAAGCCGTCCAAAACAAAACCTAAATGTATGAAGAATTGACTTTGGACAACATGAGTTTTGTGATCAATCAGTACCTAAAGATGGGGAGCCAACTGTTACCATATTGATTGGTTAACATTCTTAGTACCCCCTGCATGCATTCCATCAATTAATTATGATCATTAGATGAGTTTATAAAAAATATTAATTTTATCATAAGGGAACTCCTGGCAAACCTGGGAGTCATAGGTGCACAATTGACCTTCTTCACTAAATCCAAACCATGATAAACAAGAACCAGGAGACAAGGGAAGACGGCATCGAATGAGTTGAGTTCTGCCATTAATATTGAATACTTGTACTTCTAGCACCTGGAAAAGAAAACAAAAATGAAAAAAAAATTGAAGAAAGACAAAAGTGTAACATGTTTCCTCAATTGATCAATATCATCAGAATCAGTAATCAGAAGCAAGATGAAAGTTAAGTTTGGTTTCCAATCTTGCTTTAATTCAAACGTGGGCATTACGGGCAGGCAAAAGTGGTCAGGATGGGATTTAAAAGATGGATTTGGGCACAATAAGCAGGATTTATCAAAGGAAAAAAAAAGAGTAAGAATGGATCTCAAAATTCTTAGATTTGCTAAGAAAGCATATCATAATACAAAATTTTTCTTAATCAAATATCAGCCGTGAGCCAGCAATGCTGAGAACCTGGGATCTGGGCCTATTTCGGGCATGCATAGGTTGAGCAAGGGACAATTTGATGATTTTGATTTGAAAAGCCATGCATGTCTGCTCTGAATAAGACCAACCAAAGCACATTCTTTAGAAGGCCTGGCTAGCTAGTCCTGAAGAAAGCAGCTTCAAAAGGTCAAAGGAGATGATCAATGGTTAAGGCTTCGTTTCGGACAACTTTCTTACTGCTTCTTAAAGCAGCTTTCTAAAATTTTTGAACTAGAAAGCTACTTTAAGAAGCAGTTAGAAAGCTGTCCCAAATGAAGCCTAAGTCTACTGATTGAGATAACAGGTAAGTGAGAGGCAGCCTCTTATCAAGATATTGATTGGTGAATGGATCAAAAACTTTTGAAATCCTGCTTAGAATCAGTTTTTAAAATCGCAGAACATATACCATTGAAAAAGGAAAAAATTCATTATTTGTAAATTTTGCTGTGAGCAAACCTGATCTCCTGAGGAAAAACAATCTGAAGCATGAGTAACCACTGCCAATTTATTTCTGAAGCCTGCTGCAGTCACCACTGGACCATCAAGACAGAGGACGTGCCTCTGAAACAAAAGGCACTAATTAATTATTACTATAAAAAAAGAAATAATAAGTTTTTTCACCCAAAAGAATCTTTTAATCAGCAATAAGTGGATTATCTTTACAGCTTTATTGAAATTACAAACCTGCAAACCACCATCCGTGAAGATGCGAAGAAAATTAAGACTTGTAACTGCAGCTACCCATCCGGTTCCTAAAGCAACAGCCTTAACTTCTTCGGCTTCAAACCTCATTGACCACTATTGTTATTGAGAAAACAAAATCAGTCATAGAGGTGAGAGTGGAAAACATAGCTAGCAATCGTAATGCAAGTTCAAAAAACATGCCTCGCTATTATTAGCCCAGCTTCCAAAAGGTCGGTACATTAGAGTGCTCATGCTTTTTGTGCCCTTGCATGGATTTGCAAAGATGCTGCCATTTTCATTCAGTGCAGCCATGGTGAAACCAAAATAGTCTGTCATAGAAGGAACCCTTGGCCCTCTCCCAGTATCGTGAAAGTCGACCTATAAACAAATACAAGGCGAAATAGGAAAATACCTAAATAACACTATTGAGGATAACAATATATTATTGTGTGCGGAACTTTTATTTGGTCCGGTGAACGTACACAACTCTACGTTCGGCCGCTAGCAGAATCGTGCCACGCGTTTTCATTATTTACCGCGCGCCCCGACAACCCGACTCGGAACGGACCCAAGATTGCTCGGTATTGCTAGGTATTGGTCGATTTTGCTCGGCAATAACCAATACCGAGTTGTACCGAGTTTTTTCTACTAATACCAAGCAAATACAGAGCAAATCTCTAGCAATACTGAGCAAATACTGAGTTGTACCGAGTTGTAAAAAAACTCGGTACAACTCGGTATTTGCATGGTATTGGTCTTCATAGAGCGGTATTTCTCATTTTTGCAAAGCAATACCTATCAAATACCGAGCACTACCGAGAAAATCGCGAACATAGCATTCTCGGGTTCCGCTCCGGGTCAAGTCGTCGGGCCGCACGGTAAAGAGTAAGAGCACATGGCGACATGTTATTGGCGGCCGAACGTAGCTCTACGTCCGGTCATAGGACATAATAATTGTTTGCGGACTGGAGACCGTTTTTCTCTATATCTACGATAAAAGTACAATTAAAGCAAATTTATTGTAGCAGATGTAGACAGAAAGAAAATCAAACGATTCTCTTCTTCTGATGTCCGCACACAATAAAAAGTCAAGGATAACATCTATAATAATAATAATAATAATAATAATAATAATAATAATAATAATAATAATTTATCTATTTATTTATACACCATAAAAAATATTTTTTATCTATTTATTAATGATAAATTATTTAACATAAATAATTTATAGATGCAAATTTATAATATAAATTTGATATATAACCTATAGATGAAAATTATATTTAAGCATATAATATAAATTAATAATAATTTATATTAAATTTATAAATTTATATGTGAATTAAATTTGTATTAAACATGAATCAAATTTTAAAATTGAATGTTTTTAAATTTAAAATTATAAAAAATATTGTTTATGAATGTTTTTTTTAGTCATAAATTTATATTATTGTATGATTATTACATCATATTTAAATAATTTTAATATTTATTACATCATCCGGTTCAATCCTGATCGAACCATTGAACATTAAACCTCTCATTCTTCTGGTTTAATGTACGGCCCAATTTTCACAACCTTAAATAAAAATATCGTGACAATATTAAAAGCACGAAATCACCTAAAAGAAAGCAGAACCGCTTGGGAAAACAACAAACGCATCAAAATAGAAATGGCAAAATTATGAAATGACAGTCTCTTTACCTCAATGTGGGAGTAGCCCTCATTTTCAATTGTAGTTATGCTTCCAAGCAAGTTGTAACAAAGAAACCTTCGCTTGCCCACCTGCACGGGAGTAGAACCTGGTTGAAACGCTTCTTGTAATTTTGGCCTGACATTCCTAACTGAACTTTCACACTCTTCTGTTCCACCTCCAAATCTTAAATGCTCTTTGCTTTTGGCAGACCTCTTACGTGACACAATTTGCTCAAGGAACCCATCACTATCTTCATCAGATTTATCGAGTAATGAATGTTTCCTTAATCTTTTGCTGCTAACAGGAATTGAATCACCATGGCTTTCTTCCATAATTTCATCTAAACTTCCAGAATGGCTTGATTTTTTATCATCCTCTTCAAACAATAGGAGACCATTTCCAGTCCTTGATTGATGGTTATTAGCGCCATCTGTAGGGGACCTCATGAAAGAAGGGACAGGGTTCTCCCAAACACCAAATTTACCCATAACATCAATAACAGCCAATGCGTTGGCATTAGGCTTCCAAGATAAGGAAGATATCCTTTCTTCAAATTTCTGTCTATCAATATCCTGCCTCTGATCAACATCCCAGATTAAGACCTGATTATCTAAGCCTGAAGTTGCAATGTACTTTCCATTCGGAGACCAAGATAGGAAGCAAACAGTTTTCTCATGGTCTCCTTTCAAAGTAAATAACTTTTCAGCCGTGTCTCTGTCATACATCACAATATCATTCTTCAAACCCGGTACAGCTAAGGTCTCTCCATCAGGGCTCCAAGAAAGAAAATTCAAACGTGAGGCATCTGAATCACAGTTTGGAGCTACAGATTTCAAAGTATGCACTGGTTTTCCAGAGGAAAGTTCCCAATATGTCACAGTTCCAAATCCATCAACTGATGCCAAAAATTCATTTTTTGGATCAAAAGCTAGGCCAGTAACAGAACCATTATGACCCTTAAGCACTCTTGAGATTGAACTGTCAACAGTAGCTATCAGTTTAATGCCGTCATCATCACCAGCTGCAGCCAACAAGCTACCAGACTTGTTGAATGCAAGAGCACGGATTGGCAAGGTAAATCTTGTAACATTGCTTTGAAACTCCCCATCTGTAGGAAAACCATAATCCAATTTTTGTTTATATAAATGAGGCTATCACCATGATAATTAAAATGCAACTTTTAAGGAAGATCAAGAAAGAGATCTGTGAACGTAATTCTTAAGTATTACACCGAGCTTGTTTGATTTATAAACGAAAATCCTGCAACTACAAAGAATAACACGAAGGATATCCTAGCATAAATCCCAATGCAAATCTACGCAACATTAAAATGCTTGTACAGACCAAGAAACAATAGGCAGGACAAAAACCAAGCAAAAATAAATTCAAGCCAAGCCAGGTTGTCTGCTTCCTCCCACCATTGTGCAAGAAAGGGTTCAATGGCTGTTAGTGTCTCCTAAGTTCGAAGAAATTCTAAAATGCTGCAAGTCACTCTGATTGATAGCAGTGGCTGAACTGGTCATCTTACATTGCAACGCATAAAAGGAGCTTTCTTATTGAAAAATGTCAAGGTACGGATTGCCTTCAAACAAAAATGACATAGAATTGAAAACACAATAATGATCAATTGATGAAGATAATGAAGAATCAACAAAAACAGAATCAATATTTCATCTCCAACTGAATTCCATTTCAAATTTTTTTTTTAAAAAAAATCTATGTATATAATATCTCATATCAGATGTGTTTTATATCTAATCATACCCTTATGCATTTTAACTTTTCGAATTAGATCCACTTATAATTTTTTTAACAAAAATAAATATTACTCGATAAATTAATTTGAAATACAAACATGCACTTAATAAAATAAATATTTACAATATAAAATAAAAATTACATTAAAACAAATAAATTGTATATTAATGCTATATTTTAATTATGCTATTGCATTTTAAATTATTTAAAATGAAGAATTTGATTTAAATAAATTGATTACATAAAAAATTACACATAATAAAAATTAGAAAATTAATAACATAAGTTAAAGTGTTAAACTAATATATTTGAGATTAAAATCTTAAAATTTAATAATTTAAGGATAATTTTATAATTAAAAAAGTAAGTTTGTGAACAATGAGATGCCAATTCATATACAGCCGTAGAATTGGAGCTGTGAATACCGTTCTGGTGGTCATGTCAAGACAACTACTAAAGGATGTTTGAAGTTCTATTGGAGATACCCTCAGGGGCATCATTGCTTTTGAACAGGTTCAAAATAGAATTATCATATGTTATTCTCATTATATCCCACTCAGAACTATAGCAAACAGCAACAATGCCATGGCATCTGAGCTCAGCATATCCAAGTCGATTTTAACGGGAATAGTAAATTAAGCTTATCACAAAACATCTACTTATTCCTTCTAATCTGAAAATTCAAAAAAATAGGGCATCTTAATAAAAGTTAATACGATCTAATTTCTGTCAAATTTAAGTCAGAAAAAATGCGCTGCATAATCAAAAGGTTCATTTATAAAAATCATTGACTTCAAAAACAAAGAAGCGACATTCATGAGGGGCAATAACCTGGAAAGCTATACAGCTTGACAGAATGGTCGATGGAACCGGAAGCAAGGGTGTCAAAAGTTGGGTTTAGGGCGATGGCGGTCACCCCTTCCCGGTGATGGCGGAGGGCCTTTGCTGGCTTCGCTGGCTGCACAGCATCGTGGATGAAGGCGGTGGAATCGTCCGAAGAAGCCGTCACAAGAAGGCCTCCGCTGTTATCCCAGATGATTGAGCAGACTGAAGCGGCTCCGTTTCCCCTATGAGCCTCCTTAAGCTTCACCGTCCTCCCTTTCATTGCGATCTCACCCCGTCGATGTCTTCTCTTAGCCTATTCCTCGCCGGAAAGAATCACAGTGTCCAGCAGATTCTCTAGGGTTTTGGTTTGTGGATGGTTTCTGCAGAAAAATGGCCGAATTTGGCGCGAAATAGGTCTTTTCGCGGGAGAAGCAAAAAAATGTCAAATTATGTCAACGGGTTTTATTTTAAGAATAAATTTCGAATAAATTACAATGAATCTTAAATTTATTTATTTATTTTAAAATTAATAATATGTAAGAGAAATTAATTAAATTTTATATTATATCATTAAGGCTTTAAATTAACAAAAAAATAATTAAAAACCTTTAGCTATTTTTTCCTTTAATTTATGCCAAATAGTTCTCACCATCATTTATTTTGTAAGCCAATTTTTTTTATTAAATTATATTTGTTAGGAACTTTTCATATAACATATGCTAAAGATATAGTCACATTAAAAAAGCCAATGTTTAACATTTTCAATTTAATAATTGACATAACTCGTCTCGATATCAGACAGTTTATATCATGATTGTGACAAGATTGAGCCCAATATCCGATCGAAGAAGCACTGAAACAAATCTTCCAAAATATATATTACACAGAGTCACTACTAAATGTAATATAAAGCAGAAGACTATTAAATATAAAAAATAATTTTCTATACATCATTCAAAAGTATATATAATTTGAAGTATCCACAACATCACTTTGCAATTGATAACATAACCAATAACCAAATAAAAGTCAAACTTGCAAAAATAAAACTAATCAAAAGGGCATACTTAGAGCACAACTCAGTAGACTATCGTAATCTAAAACATAAATTGATAACTAAAATCAAAATACTGAAAATATTATGTTGTAATAATAAATTGAAGTATTGTACGAAAAATTAAAACTGAAATAGAAGTTGAAATTGAACTTCATATAAGCATTTAAGAACATTTAATAACTTTAGAAGTTGTACTGAAACCGATTGAATTTTAAGCAAACATTTCATAGTGATTATCAAAATGGCTTTCAATCTCAAATTTCATATATATTCATTAACATAATCTTACCACGGTCACCCACTAGAGCTAGTGTAATAAAATCTTACCTCAATCGACCACTAGTGCATAATAGAATCCCACCTTGGTCGCCTATTGACATCAGTATAACAGAATCCCACCTTGGTCGCCCACTGTCACCAACATAATAGAATCTCATCTCGGTCTCTCATTAGCACAAGCATAATAGAATCCTACCATCGTAGCCTATTGTTACTGGTATAATAAAATCCACCTCGGTAGCCATTAACCCCAACATAACATCACATTATCACACATTTCTTTCACCATTATACACATTTTTTGATGCATTTCATTAATTAAAATATAATTGAACTCAATTCAAAATTTATCAAAATGCCTTAATAGTAGTTAACATAAATACTACTAAGCAAAAATGCACAATTTTTAAATATAACTAAATTACCAGAGATTGTGTAAAAAATCATAATAAGACTTTAACCGTAGAACAATATAATTTTTCAAAGTACTGATAAATTTTTTTTCAATAAAAACCGTACAAATTCCAAAACATTTGGTGAAATTTTTTCAAAAAATACTCAAAATATTTGTAATCATAATCTCTATAACATATAAAAAATTACACAGTGAAAGTTTTACAAATACAAAGTTATTCTCATTTTTCGATAACAAAAATATTAATTTTATGAAAAAATTTCAAAAATACTTAATTATTGAAAACTAAGATAGGCAAAACATAACTTACATCGATTCAAACAGCTTTCTTAACTAGCCCGACTTATAAAAATGGTTTGACGTGGCTCAAAATCCATCTTCTTCCTCTCTAATTCTCTCTCATGTCGATTACATGTGAAAGAAGTGAACATTATTATTTTTGGATGTGTTATTAGTGGATTGGTGCGGCAGCTATAATAACTAAAATATTTGAAATAAATTTATTTAAAAATTATGAAAATTTTGAAGAGCGCTTTAATGTTTTGATGAGCGTTGTGACGTTAGCCAATAAACTATATATATATATATGTCTTACCCCACTGGCACCCGGCTCCCCTTGAATCATGTAAATTAGTTGCCCCAACTCCTTATAACTCCCAATCAATCTCTAGCTCCTTATGCTCTTAATAAGTGAATCAATTAAGTGGATCAATAGGGTATCACGTGAAGTTATCATATCATGTATCTGATATCATTTAATACTTCATTTAAAATGTGATAAAATTATATCAAATCGTTCAAAATGATCAAATTTATAACATATCTAAACTTGTACGGTGAAAGTTTATGAAATCAGGATATAATATAATTTTTACATATTTAGAAAAGATAAAATTTGTAGAAATCAAAATAATTGAAAATAGAAGTAAGAGATTAGTCACTTACAATGAATAGAATAAAATTTGTAACATGAATAACTGATAAATATGATCGAAATACATTTCTCTTTCCTCTCTCTTCTTCTCCTCTCTCAAATTTTCCTTGCCAAGCAACCAAGTGAGAGAGTTGATGGGGTGACGTAGGTATATATATTGTTTATGGACTAGCATTAGCGCTCACCAGATCAGCGCCAAAGTGCTCTACTTCAAAATTTTCATATTAAAAAAAAAAATTATTTCACATATTGAGTTATTACAAGCTCTCAGCTTCACCATCTAAGAAAAATGCAACTAATGTAACATTTCTCTTTAGAGATAATACATCCCATCTAGAGTCTTCTCTATCATTATCAACCACTCTTCAACTGCTCTAGGCTCAATAGCACATGAAAGTTTGAAAGGCTATAATCCTAAAATTTTATAAATATCTACCCATATCATCAAGACAAACATTAAAAACCTATGTATGAACCTCGCATACCAGCTGTGTTACTATATCTGTAATATGAGAAATTACCTAAGAACTGATCACAGGAGCTGCACCTTGAATCTGAGCTCCTTGACTAGAGCTCTGACTGTTGGTCATATCTAAATCTGGCTAAGGTGGATCAACCATTTCAAAATATTAAAAATAGTTGAATGTAATACATGTACATGTCCAAAACTACCTGGAAGTATCTCACTATTCTACATATTGAATCAAATGGCTCTGTTATGATTTGCTTCTCCGACTTTGCTTTGATACAAAAAATGCTTGATATCATACAGGTCATACCGTGTCAAATTGTGGTAAGACTAACTGTCACATATTCATGCTAATCTAATCTAAATTGTTACAAGCATATTATTTTTGTTTATGTGCATTGAATACAATTGTAAATTATGGCAACCTATTAGGATGTTAGCTCATTATATGATTTACATATTTTAGGGAAGAATAAAGACCTAATGGGTGAGGAATGATTCATATTTGTTGTTTATAAGTATTATATTTTATGTTGTTTAATCTTTTATAGTAATGGATGTTTTCTAGGATATATTGATTTATATATGATCCATGATTATTATAAATAATGTTTTGATTTGATAAATATGAAAGGTGTATATGATGATGAGGAGACTTTCTATTTTGGTTCTGCTATTTTAAATATACATGAATATTAGTAGTGGCTCTGGGATAAAATGAGAGAAAAAAAAAACAATCTTCTAATTACATCTTAGTGCATCACAAAATATTATATAAAGCATGTTTGTAAGATTTTACTATGCTATCATATACTTTGTGTGTATCATGCTTCTTTGTGAGAAACAAGAGCATGTAACATGAGTACAAATAATAATATTGCTACTAATGATAATAAAATATATATAATTAACTTTAACTCTTAAGTTAGTATTCTCAACTTCTAAATGATTTATCTTATCATGGAAAGGATTAATATCATGATCATATTTATAAAAGCTACTAAATAATATATTATTCATTAGATTAACATTCCAAACTTCTAAAACATTAACCTTACCATGAAAATCATTAATACATGATCACATTTAAAAGTGCTTGGACATAATAAATAATTCATTATACTAACATTATCTTCTTCCACCAAATGATCATAGCATGTAAACCCACATCATGTTCACATGAAAATGAACTAGATGTAAATAAAGAATCAAGCTCATTCTCAAGCTTCTAATTTTCAATTTCAAGTACTCAGCAAGTACTAACATTTTCATTCAACATTATAACATCATAACATCATGAATGAGTGAATCATACTAATTCTTTAAAATATTAATAAGCCTATTCAAGAACTTTGATTCTTTGCTATAATTTTAAAATATTAATAAGCATATCTTCTTCTTCTTCCTTCTTTTCATGGAGAAATGTCTTGATTCAAGAAACATCAAAGTCACCCAAACTAGCTACAAGTGTCCCTTCAACAATAAAGTTAGTGACATAAAAGGATTTGATGCTACAAGTGAGAGGAAATAAATTAATTAAATGTGAGATTAATGATCACTCAACACAAAGGCATATGAGCATAAATAATTGAATCACAACTTCAAAATTTACTAAGCATTTTAATAAATAAACAAGAATGAAAAACAAAATTTTATAGTAGTTAGGAACATGAAATTCTTATGTTATTGTAAATCCAATCATCTTACATCCACATTTAAGCACCCTCTTGCTTAAGATTTTACAATCTACTATACTTAAGGCAGGGAAGCCAATTCCTGGATTGAGCAGCCTTGGATATTTGATTAACTTTCAGAAATTCTCTAGAAAGCCAAGTGTGTCCTCATGGGGAGCACCAATATTGAGCAGCATTGGTGAGATGAAAGGTTGATCAAACAAAATCTTGAGAAAAGTTGCAGGTCAAAGCACCATCATCATCTTCCTTACCCCAACTAGCCTGTAACAAACATGAACAATATAGGAACCAATGCAGGCATCACTAATTGCACAAAATTCCAAGGAAACAATCACATGGAATGACCAGAAAGTTTCTTTAATAGACAGGACTTATAAAGAACCATTTGAACCCAAAAAACAGGTTCCTTCCGCGACACGAATCACCAAAACGATAATCCCTTGAACAGCATTTTAACAGAACTTTAGCAAAAAAAGTTCTAGTCACCAAACAGATCATCATCATCTTCAGCAGAAGCATCATTTGGTTTTCCACTGGAAGGCTTTCCAACAGCAATTTTGTTTGCATTTCCTTCTCTATCATCGTTTTTGTATGCCCAAGATGAACCTACCTTGCCAGAAAAGGAATCACCATAAATGTCATCATAAATCCCAACTTTTGAAGTGCTCTTGACTTTGTTCAAAACCTGCTGTAACTTGTCAGTGACACCCTTGGGAGAAATGCTACCTTCCCTTTGCGATAGATGCTCCTTTCCTTTAGGAATAACAGTGACTTGAACAAGAGATTCATATTTTCCAACAAGACTTCCTTCTTTTACACCAATAGGGCCAGGCTCAGTTTCAACATCTACACCATCTGAGATCCCCACAACTTCAACTAAGTTACCGCCAATCTGATCCTTAAAAGTAACCCTTGCTTTCCTAATCCTTTTAGAGGGCCTTGATGAGAGATGATCTGCAGCTGTTAAACTTGAAACAGTGTCAGATTTTGATAACAAGTCTGATTTAGTAAGACCGTAGCGGTTAAGAATGGTATTATATGCAACCACAGCATCTTCATCAGATGGGTCTGGGGGAGAAGGTAAATCTATTTCTGTTGGAGCAGCTTGGGTGGGAAAAAGAGCAGCAGCATTCTTTCTCAGAATATAACTTCGTGTGGATGCAGCAAATCTTAGAGATTGCCCAACTTCAAGTTCAACTGGTGTGTCTTTAATAAGCCTCTCATTGCCAACAAATGTACCATGAACGGAACCCAAATCAATCACATAAATACTGCAGAATATACATGATAAATATATAAACAAGTACTTATTTTCATGGTACATTACATTTGTGAAGTAAAGGGACAAATAAATTAAATAAAACTTACTTGGTCTTTTGTAATTAGTTGTACAGCAGAAACAAGGTTCACTGGCCAAATGAAATTAAGCTTTGGAAAATCTAATCATAGTAATAGTAGATAACAGAAGTAAGGTTTCTTTATTTACAATATGCAATGGAAAAATATAGCCGATATTCACTTTTCTCTCTTGAAAATCGTTGAACATAACCTCTATAATGATAAGTAGGCATGTGACAATACAAGAAGAAAAAGTTTCCTTTTCTTAGTGTAGTACGAAACTAATGTGGATAATCTTATCCTCGACACAACTTACCCTTTGATTTCATGCCCACTTCCTTTACTCCCTTCTTTTATTCCTTTTCAGTTATGACAAGCACTGCGCCTTCTTTTTATTTTTTTTTAGCTTGTTAAAGTATAGTTAGTTATCTTTAATATATAGATATATATACTCTTATAAGCACACGAGGAGGACATAGATAAATATACTCTTTACTTAAGGTTACTATTTCATTGTTTTCTTGCTTGTTACTATTCTATGTTTTTGGTTGCTACGCTATTCTAGTATCAGAGCCGGCTACCTGGGACAATGACAGAAGGAAGTTCGCGACAAGCTCTATCTTTTTAATGTCAGATTTTTTTTTTTGGAAAAACAAGGCAGTCGAAATACATCACCTAAAAAAGCTTTGGTCATATAATTAGACTGTATATCATTATACGCTACAATAATATGTACACCATTATGCATGGTCTAGCTTAAAAATATAGCTTGATGTTTATATAATTATATAATATTGTCAATAAGTTATTATCAACATTAACCTTATCCTAACTATTTGAGTATGACTTTAAGAATCCACTATTTTCTTACTTTCCCCTAATTTTAATTGTCATTTAGATGTTTTTATTGTATGATAGAATCTTACTATTTTTTACTTGCTAAAACCCTTAAATTCTCATTTACGCAATTCTTCGTCGGTGAGGCTTACGCCTCACACCGCCTCGAGGCTTACGCCTCGCCTCACGGACGAAAAATGGCTCGAGGCTTATTTACGCAATTTTAAACCTTGTCATTAAGTATATTTTCAATTACCTTATCTTCGATGGATATCACTCCAACAATCCCTCTATTATAATTAGTCTTTAATCTATCTTTCCTAATAATATCCCACATTCAACTTAACATTTTTTTCTTTATCACACTCAACTTCTCCATTAATATATTTTTACTTCCCAACATTTAGATTCATTTGACATATCCATCCTAATTATAATTTTATAAACTTTATTTTTAAAACTCCTGGATATCCTCTTATCATATAATATACTAATGAAGCGACTCTCCATTTTAATCTCAAGGCATCAACACTAAAAGTTATATCCTATTTAATCTGCATAATAGATCCAAGAAATATAAATCCATCAAACAGAATATTACTTTATTTTCTAATAATATTGACTTAAACTATTTAATATCATACAAACTAAAACTACAACACATATACTCAAGCTTTATTTAAAAAAATTATAAAATTTTTATCTTCTGATAATTTACTCTATTATTCTAACTTTTATTTATTCTATTAAAAATGAGGTCAACAACCCTTAATAACTTCATCATATCTTTGATACTCATCTTTCATTTTTAATGGACATCAAATTAATTTATTTAGTATTTGATCAAATGACTTCTGAAGATCAATGAAAATCATTAAAAATTCTTTCTATGTTCTCTATAATATTTACATAAGGTTATAATATTCTAATAACTAAACCCATCATCATAAAATAACTTAAGGCATTTTGTTTGATTCATAGTACGGAGCATATATATTTAGTAGAACCCTGCCATATAGACAAGATGGGACAAAGTTTTCTTTTTTAAATAAGTTTTCATTGAAAAAGGCCTTGAGGCTTTATGCAAATGCAAGACAAAACATTTTAGAGAGTCATGCTCTTGTATTTGTGATTTGGTCACCAGTTGTCGATACTTTAACGGGATCGGGGGAGGTTGGGGTTTGCGAACAGGAGCCGTGGGAGAGATCAGAGAGTGTCGTGTGTGGAGCTTGCGAGTGGGCAGAGTTCGGTCGTAGGGAGATCGAAGAAAGTGGGAAACAGTGGGAGGAGATCGGAAAAGCAGAGAGGGATCGGAGCTCTTGAGATCGGCACAGTGGAGTTCGTATGAGAGGAGAAGCAGAGCAGGGGAGGAGTTCGGGACTTTCACAAGTGGAAAGAGCTGTCGTAATACCCCCGAAGGCAGGGCTCTGCTCCGTTTTATAGACGCGATCGGAGCAACGAGCGAGGCGAGATCGCGAGATTTCTACAGGAATTGCGGGAAGCGACACGAACGGCGCCGAAGGAACAGTGCTTCGGCGAGATTTGAGCCAGATTTTGCGGAGGAGTTCTTGGATCCGATGGGTGTTAGGTATGTACGTTGGATTCATGACTTCTTCTCCTCTCATTTTGTTTATACAAAGGTTAACAGTTTTAGATCCTGAAAACTCTACTCCTGTATCTAGAGGATCAGACTCAAAGATTAGGTCTTATAAACCAATCTTATTAGAAGGGTGGTCCTATAAACTAGTCTTATTAGAAAGGTGGTCCCTAAAGTTTACTTCTTGATGGTCCGTAAAGTTTACTTCTTGATGAATTTTCTTCATATAGACCTTATGTAAATATTATATCAAATATTTTAATGAGAATTGCGACCAAATTATTTATCCCTAGTTCAAAATAAAACAAAATTCTTCAATTAAATTAGGGCGAAGGATTTATGATAATTTCTAGCCGCATATATAGTTGTCAAAGCACAAGCCTAGTCAACTACATCCTTGATACATGGATGTGGATTGGGACTTAACTACTTTAAACTATAGGCAGAGTGATACATTAAGATTTTCTTTTTATTCTTTTACAATTTGGATCTCAGTTAAGGTTCGAAACTTGTAAACTTCACACTTGACACATGAAGGATCAGGTCGGAGTGAAACCTATATTTTCTTGATATTTGCTGTCTTTCATTATCTTTTGGGAATTTACCGAGTGGTTGTTGTTGATATCTTCCAAGTTCGATGGGTGGGCCAATGAAAACAACAAATAGAAGTTGGGTCTCATGACAAGCCAGATAATGGTGCCCAATAAGTCCCAAGATGAGGATGCATTGCAACACCTAGAAATATCTCTTACTTCTATAAACTGGCATCAAATTGTTTCATTTCCAATAATTTGGAATTCTCTGATTTTTCAAATTTCAAATAAAATATTTATTAATCAAACTACTCCCAAGTCCCAACCCTTCTATAATTATTCAAATTTTATTATCTCATATGAATCTGATGCTTTATCTTTATAAATTTGTTCAACAACAAATCAACTTCAATCATTGGGATCAATTTAAACTACATTGTCCATTTAGGCCATTGCAAATAGTTAACACCACTTTAAAAGGCAAAAATTATACCTATTTCTTCCCAAATAAGTATTTCAAACTTCTTCTAATCCTTAAAAAATAGCTTAATAGCTACAATCCTATCCCTTACCCTATTAAACTAAAAAAAATTATTTTTCAACTCTTTATCCACTCATAGAACTATGCTTATCTAATTTTTTACCTTCCATCACACAATAGCTTACAATGTTCTTCAATGCCTTCCGATTTTTTCATTTCAATTTCATCTCTTGCAAACATTTGCTATTTGTTCTTCTAATTATTGAGTCCACTAATGCTTTAAACTTTCCATGCAAAATATCTAAATTCCATGCAACACCTAGTTTTATTTGGGACTTAGTCAACACTAAATGAAAGTAGCAAATAATATAAGAGCTTAACTGCGTGGAAAGTTTGAAAACATTAAAAAGATTGAAGTGTTGCAGGGGTAAATAATAAGAAATGGAACAAAGACTTAGAGTGAGAATTATATTAAAAACTCTTAATAATAATAATTGGATGACAGTCTGAGAGCATTTAGATATAAAACTTCACAGCAATAAACATAAATACTATTAAAGCAATAAATTCGCCAAAAGAATACATTAAACACTACATGAAAGTATGAAACTAACAAGTATCTGCAATGAAAGTAAGCTGTGATAATATGCAGGAAAGGAACCTCTAGATGAATTTCCAGGGCAAAGCCTCTAAGAAAAAGATTCACCAAGATGTTCTATAGCTGACCTTCAAGCTTCTCAAGAAAATAATACACGCAGTTATAATATAACTAGCAGTTAAAAAATGCCGAATAGGCAATTTTCCATTTTACAGAACAACTGAAAATAGCTAGAAAATTCTCATCACCTTTTCCTATAGCCCTTCTATTGGATTTGCCTATGAAATAATTAGTCGATAATCTTTTTAACAACTGCATCAATTATCACTAAAAAAGAAAAAAAGGCTCAAAAGAAGATGCATAAAGGCAAAGCTTTGAATGTGATGCCTATTATATGGATAACACTAGTGGTTTGATTAAACAAATCCTTTTGATGGAAATTTAAATAAAAAGAGGATGACAAATGGCTGGAAGAATGCTGATACTAATAATGAAGAATAAAGAATATAGTTGGGATTATGATAATTGTATGATAATCAAATGCATGAGCCATACAATAAAATTGCAGAAGAGGATAATGGAATAATGATTCTAAAAAATTATGCCAATATCATATCAGCAATTTGATTTTTTTTTTTTTTTTGGAAGTAAAGCATATAGCTCTAGCCATGAATTTTGCACTAAGAAAATTAATGAAAAAATATAGACCAAAGAAATGATCTTCAGAAAATTTTATTGACCTAAAGAAAACATATAATTAAATACTAAAGGAATTGATTTGAAAGATATTAAACAAAAAAGATATTTGCTAAAGGTATTTTGAAGTTATCAAAGATATGCATAATAGATCATTGAGTAGTGTTAAATATAGTTATCAAGCGACCAAC